ATCAGGAGGCCACGCAGGCCTCCGGAAGGAAGAGTCTCCGGAAGGTCTGGAGCAGAGCCGCCCGGGCACCAGGCTGTGTCCCCAGCGGGAGGGAGGCCAGGGCCGCCAGCCGGGCCTGGGAGGAGGGCACGCGGCCCAGGACGGGAGGGCTCCCTCGGATCTGCGGCCGGGCAGCTGGGGGGCCGGGGCCCGGGGGAAAGTCAGGCTTATTCGTTTACTGAGCTTCTCGTGTGCCAGACACTGCCCTAGATGCACCGTGTGTGCGTGTGCGTGTGCGTGCGTGTGTGTGCGTGTGAGAAATGTGTGTATTCGTCACAGCGATGCTTCTACCCCCACCTGGTAGACGAGGACACGGAGGGAGAGAAGTGCCAAGGTCACAGAGCCAGCGAGCGTCACAGGCAGGACCCGGGCGCTGGACGCTGGACGCCGCCTGCCCGGAACCTGCCCCGCGGCCCCCCAGCTCTGCGGGGAGCTGGGAGCTTCCGCCAAGTCCTCACCTGGAGGGAGGGGCTGGGAGGTGCAGGGGCCCCGAAGGAGGGAAGGGCAGAGAGGACAGCCGTGGGCTGCACCCTCCCCCCAGGCCCCTCTGCCTTTTGAGGAAGACCAGTTAATCAGCACAGACATTCAGACATTTGAGTGTATTTATTTATTCCCGGCTTCATTCCCCAGACAGGACGCTGACAAACGGTGCCTGATGGCCTTGATGCCGTGGCTGCTGCAACGTCACACGTGGGACCGGCTTGTCCCGGGTCTCTACAGGTCCCCGGCTTAAACACCCAAAGGCCTCGGGGCGCCTGGGGGGCGCGTCCGACTTCAACTCAGGTCACCGCCTCACGGTTTGTGAGTTCGAGCCCCGCGTCGGGCCGTCTGCCGTCAGCACGGAGCCCACTTCAGGTCCTCTGTCCCCCCCCACGCTCTCTACCCCTCCCCTGCTTCTGTGCACACACGCGCTCTCTCTCACTCAAAAATAAATAAGCATTAAAAAAATAAATAAAATAAAACAGAAAGTCCTTGATTCTGGAAACGCTCTCAGAGGCAGACCCTCATTACACAGGATGCAGCCCACAAAGTCTACTTGCTGGACTCTGGATGGAGCCCAGAGCTTCCTAACAGCCAAGGTGAAGAGGAAAACCCCCTCTGCTTTGAGATGTTCAGTGTCAGCAGCAGTAGCAGCGCAAAAGAACTTTCCACAAGGATCCAGTATGTCTCTGTGGAGCCCTCCAGATGCGGCCAGTGACAGAGGGACTGGATTTTTAATTTTAGTTCATTTCACGCAATTTAAATGTAAGTAAGAATCACCTATGGCTGTAGCAGTGACTATCGAAAATCACCATGTATTAGGTAAGAACAAACCAGAAGGTCAGGAAAAGCCTGGGGAGCAGGCCGAGGGCTAGGAGAGGCCAGGGGAAGCCAAAAGAGGGAGTGGGTGTCAGAGAAGAGGCCCCAGATGCCCCCCTCTCCGCCCCCAGGTTAGTGCAGCCTGAGTCACGCTGACTCTGTGGGAAAGCGAGCGGTGTCTGGTGTCACTTCCTGGCACCGAGGGGGCGTCCGGAATGCCGGAACTAAGACCCCGTCCCGCCAGGTACCGGAACACACCTGCATGGCCTCAGAGCCGGAGCCTGGGCAAAACGCCTCCGTCACGCGTGCTCTGGATGGATGGTGCCCCTGATGCCCCCCACCCGGCCTGTTCCAAATGCCAGGGCCTCTGGAGCCTGCTAGACACCTTGGGTTCTGGGAGGCAGAGAAGGGGAGGCATGACCCCTGCCCCCCCCCCCCCCGTGACTGGGAAGCTGATGACTCCCGGGTCAGAAATAACCCCACAGTCAGCTCGCAGCGTGCCTTCCCTCCCTGCCCCTCCTTTCCCAGAAAGCCTGGGCCCTGAGTCAGAGGGGAGAACCCAAAAGTAAGCAAGGACCCAGATAATCGCAGGCAAGACCACCGAACCCTTCCGTGGAATTCTCTGATAATTCAGGGACCTGGCGAAGAGTCAAGGCCTGGAAATTCAGACGCCTTTCCCCCAGTCCGGCTGCGCAGACGGGTGCTGTGGGGCAGGGAGAGGAAGGAGAAGAGAGGGCAGGTCCTTGCCGCCGAGGGGATGGGGGAGAGGGGGTCCTGGGCTTACCCTTCTCCTCTGCCCCGGCCAGGAGCAGAGGAGAGGGCACAGGCCTCCCTGCGGGGCCCCGCCCCCTGGCATAGTGGGCGCGCACGCACGCGCACGCACGCACACACACGCACACACACCAGCAATAGTCAGAGGCCAGTCTGGGGTGGGGGGGCGTGGAACATGGGCCGTCCAGGTGTCAGATGCCCCTTTTTATTCATTCCCTCAAAATAGTCTGGGAACCTGCACCCCACACCGCAGCTGAGTCACCCACCCCGGTCCTCAGATGAGATTTGAATGAATGAAGCCGTCCCTCCCCCTCCTCCCCTCCCAGCAGAAAGGACATGTAACTGATTCCCTGGGATGAAGGGGAACTTCCCCAAGCCCTAAAAATAACCGAGCCACTTCATACTCTGAACTTAGCCTCCCCCACCCGCTCCCACCTGGCCCACCCCCCAGCCAGCAAGATAAAGGCAGCTGCTGGGGCTGGCAGAGGGCAGAGACCCGAGCCAGGGCGGCGAGGAGGCATCGAGCGAGGCCAGCGGGACGGACCGGCCGTGAGCAAGAAGCCCGAAGGGAAAGTCAGACCCCCGAGCACCCCCTGGGCCAAGTGGGACCTTCAGGTGGGTAACCTGCCCTTTCGTCTTTCCACAGCAGGCTGGCTGTCCGCGCTGGGCCCCCTCGGGCCGGCGTGGGGTGGCTCTCAGGGTTGTGTATATGAGGGGTAGCTCGGGCAGAGGAAGCAGGTGGTAGCGGAGAGGAGGGGTTCCTGGTATAACGATTCCAGAGGACGCTGCAGGAGGGTTAGCATGAGCCCCGTGGCACCTCTCAGAGCGGCGGCCACAGGCCTGAGCCCCACAACAGGGATAGGTTCTTACCAGTCTGGCATAATCCAGAAAGGCTTTCAGGAGGAGGTGGCCTACAGTTGTGAGTTTTAAAATACAGGTATGGAGCTCCTCAGGCTTCAGGGTTTCCTCCCAGGGAAGCCCCAGGCAGGCCCAAAGTCTGGAGGAAAGAGGGACCCAAGAGAGTGAGGGGGGCATGGGGGCTGGAGGGTAGGAAGTGGGCCCGATTCCGCATTGCGAGGACCAGCCCCTGCCCAGCTGCTATGGGCAAAAGTCTTGGCATATCTGGCATCAGGAATGTCTTCTCAGGGCTGGCCCGAGCCCAGCTCCCCCCCAGCCACGGCCTAGGGCCCGGGGCCCGAGCCCAGCTCCCCGCCAGCCACGGCCTAGGGCCCGGGGCCCGAGCCCAGCTCCCCCCCAGCCACGGCCTAGGGCCCGGGGCCCGAGCCCAGCTCCCCCCCAGCCACGGCCTAGGGCCCGGGGCCCGAGCCCAGCTCCCCCCCAGCCACGGGAAGCAGACTCTGCCCCAGACCATGGTCTTGCCCAAGAGGGAAGCCCTTGGAGCAGTTCTGGGGCACCAGGTGGGGAGACCAGATCTGAGTATGGCCAGATGCTGAGACCCGTGGAGGCGGCTGAGTCAAGGACAAGCAGACCTGGGAGCACAGGTGGGGTCAGCCTGAGAGGTTGGCCCAGCCTGGGGAGGGTTCGGGCCGACCCGAAGTCTGAGTGTCCGGTTCTGATTCCGCCCCCCCCCCCGTCCCTGCCCTGTAGAAACGCCAGCCCCCGGGGGTTCAGTCCAGGCAGGGGCAAGGGTGGGTCAGCTCCCTGCTGTCTTGGGGCCTCAGTTTCCCCGCCTGAGTGGTGAGGGGTTAGGCTCCTCGACCTCTGAGTGTCCTTAGCTCTGACCTCCTTGGACTCGTGATTCTAATGGTCTGTGGCCCCAGCAGCGACACTGAAAATCCCTGGGGCACAGTGGGGTGGCACGGGTGACCCCGCGTGGCATCTGCCCAGGCCACCCTGGCAGTGACGGGACGGGAGGCACGCTTGGCCTTTCTTCCCGTCAGAACCCAGAAACACAACGAGCCACCAGAGCCTGCACTGAGCCGCCGGCCACAGGTCCCCGCACCCTTCACTCCTCGGGGCCCTGACGGCTGGCGGGCGTGCTGGACGGCCACCTCAGAAGGGGGGGTGACAGGCAGTCTCAGTCCCCCCCCCACCCCACCAGGCCCAGCTCTGGTCACCGGCCAGGGGCCAGGGGCCAGCTCAGGAGGAGCGGCAGCTTCAGGGAGCCGGGGCAGGGACGGTGAGGCGGGTGAAGGAGCCCGGGGCCCCGCGGCTGGGCCGGAGCCCCCCCGCTGTCCTGAGGCCAGGACCTCAGCTATATTTAGCCCAAGTGTGGAGCAGCGCAGTGGGTCAGGGGCAGCGGGAGGGGGGACGTGCTTCTCATTCTTTCGCTACTGGCCTCTGGGGACTGTCAGCACACCTGTCACAAGACAGATAAGACACAGGACAGAGACCAGAGAAGGGCCGGAGGGGTGGGAGAGTGAACGGAGAGCCCAGCGGTTAAATGCGGGCAGGACTCCCGTGAAAGCGGCAGATGCGCCCTCTGGTGTTGTGAGCGGGAGTTTCCTCTCCGGGGGAAGCAGTCCCCTGTTGAGGGACGCGCCTCTCCCCACCGGGACCCTGTAGGTCAGGACTCACGCGGAGCTCACTAGGGATTGCGGTAAAGGAAGGTGAGAGCAGAGCGGGTCCAGTTTGCTTCCTGGCGGAGTGGGCGTCCCTTACGGGGCCACAGGATGGAGTTTCACGGCCAGTAGGGCCCACCTGCTCCCTGGCCACCCGGTAATTCTGGGAAAGCGGAAGCCACCCTGATGGACGGCCCCATATGCTCTCAGTTCAAGACTTGTCACCTACCAAGCACGCAGGTGGCACAGCGATACCCTGGTGAGGTCTGGAGAGGGAGGGGCCTCTGAACACAGGTCCACACGGGACCGCCCGCTGTGATTTCTCCCCGCGCCCGCCCCGTGCTCATCTCTGCTCCTTTCCTCCGAAGGATGGTCAAAGCCCAGACGCAGGCCGCCCCCGCGCCGGCCACTCCGTTGGCAGCTGCAGAAGACGGGCCCCTCCCTCCAGCCCCAGCCCCGGAGGCTCTGCCCCCGCCGCCGCCCAGGGAGGCCTTCTCCAAGTCCCAGCAGCAGAGGCAAGCCAGCGAGCTCCGCCGCCTCTACAGGCACATCCACCCCGAGCTCCGCAGGAATCTGGCCGAGGCTGTGGCCGAGGACCTGGCCGAGGTCCTGGACTCGGGCGAGCCCACCGAGGGGGAGGTCCAGTGCATGCGCTGGATCTTCGAGAACTGGCGGCTGGATGCCATTGGGGACCGTGAGAGGCCGCCCGCCAGGGAGCCCGTGCCCGGTGGTGACGTCCAGGCTACCTCCCGCAAGTTTGAGGAAGGCGCCTTTGCCAACAGCACCGACCAGGAGCCCGCAGGAGCGCCGCCCCCCGGAGGGGACGTCCGTGCAGCCCGCCAGCTGTTTGAGACAAAGCCGCTGCATGAGCTGAGTGGCCGGGCCGAGGCCCTGGAGGCTACGGCGAGGGAGCCTGAAGCCAGCGGCGATGTCCGGGGTACCAGGATGCTCTTCGAGACGCGGCCGCTGGACCGCCTGGGCTCCCGGCCCTCCATCCAGGAGCAGAGCCCCCTGGAGCTGCGCTCGGAGATCCAGGAGCTGAAGGGCGATGTGAAAAAGACGGTGAAGCTCTTCCAGACAGAGCCCCTGTGTGCCATCCAGGACGCGGAGGGCGCCATCCACGAGGTCAAGGCTGCGTGCCGCGAGGAGATCCAAAGCAACGCCGTGAGGTCCGCCCGCTGGCTCTTTGAAACCAAACCTCTGGACGCCATCAACAGGGACCCCAGCCAGGTGCGGGTAATCCGGGGGATCTCCCTGGAGGAGGGGGCCCGGCCTGACGTCAGCGCCACTCGCTGGATCTTTGAGACACAGCCCCTGGATGCCATTCGGGAGATCCTGGTGGACGAGAAGGACTTCCAGCCGTCCCCCGACCTCATACCTCCTGGTCCGGATGTTCAGCACCAGAAGCACTTGTTTGAGACCCGAGCGCTAGACACTCTCAAGGGGGAAGAGGAGTCTGGAGCGGAGCCCCCAGCCAAGGAGGAAGTGGTCCCCGGCGATGTCCGCTCTACCCTGTGGCTGTTTGAGACGAAGTCGCTGGACGGCCCGAGAGACAAGGTCCAAGTGGGTCACCTGCAGCGGGTGGGTCCCCGGGAGCCTGAGGCGCTCACGTCGGAGCATCGGTCCGGCGATGGCTCCGCAGCGCTGCCCCCCGCGCAGAGTGCCCCCCAGACGGGTGGGGTGAAGGGGGATGTGAAGGCCTTCAAGAACCTTTTTGAGACCCTGCCCCTGGACAGCATCGGGCAGGGTGTGCCTTCAGCCCAGAGGAACATGAGCAGAGCAGAGCAGCCCCAGGACACGGGGTCCCCGGTGTACGCCGTGCAGGACGGCCAGGGCCACCTCCACGCCCTGACGTCTGTCAGCAGAGAGCAGGTAGTTGGCGGCGATGTGCAGGGCTACAGGTGGATGTTTGAGACGCAGCCCCTGGACCAGCTAGGCCGAAGCCCCACTACCGTGGACGTGGTGCGGGGCATCACCCGGCAGGAGGTGGTGGCTGGAGACGTGGGCACTGCCCGCTGGCTCTTTGAGACCCAGCCCCTGGAGCTAATCCACCAGCGGGAGCAGCAAGAGTGCCAGGAAGAGGAAGGGGAGAGCCGCGCGGGTCCGCAGCCCGAGGCGCTCCCCAGAGGGGACGTGCGCACCACGCGGTGGCTGTTTGAGACGTGCCCGATGAGCGAGCTGGCGCAGAGGCAGGCGCCGGAGGCCACGGACCCCACGGCTCCGGCCGAGGCGCGGTCCTGCACCTGGATGTTCGCACCCCAACCCCCCGACGGGCCAGAGGGCGCCCGGGAGCAGCGCCTGCAGGCCAGCCGGGTCCAGGCTGGGGACACACAGACACACGGACACGTCTTTGAAACCGAGCCTCTGCAGGCCTCAGGCCGTCCCTGCGGAAGGGGGCCCGTGCGCTACTGCAGCCGCGTGGAGATCCCTTCGGGGCAAGTGTCCCGGCAGAGGGAGGTTTTCCAGGCCCTGGAGGCAGGCAAGAGGGAAGACGGGGCATCCAGGGCGCTCCCCGAGCCCGTCCCCGTGGGCTCCGTGCGCAAGGTCACCTGGCTCTTCGAGAACTGCCCCGTGGGCTCCCTGGCGGCGGAGAGCATCCGAGGGGACAGCTTCCCGGAGGAGCAGCCCGGGGGCCCCGCAGGCAGCGAGGTGCCAGAGAGGCAGGAGACTGCGGCGGAGGGGACTCTGAAGGCTCTGCACGCCACGCCGGGCGTCCTGCTCGGAGGAGGCGTCCTCATGGAGGCCCGAGGGCGGGGGGAGCTCTGCCTCGCCAAGTACGTGCTCCCGGGCCCCGGGCAGGGGGGACCCCGCGTCCGGAAGGAGGAGCTGGTGTCGGGCGAGCTCCCCAGGATCGTCCGCCAGGTGCTGCGCCGGCCCGACGTGGACCAGCGGGGACTGCTCGTCCAGGAGGACCTGGCCGGCCAGCTCCATCTTAAGCCACTGAGGCTGCCAGGCAGCGGGAACGTGGAAGACACGGATCCCGAGTTCCAGCAGTTGCTGGCATGTGGTCTGGGCTCCTCGGTCGCGAGGACCGGGCTGGTGATGCAGGAGACGGAGCAGGGGCTGCTCTCGCTGACCGCCTACGCCCTGCAGCCCCGGCTGGCCAGCAGGCTCCCCGGGAGGGGCAGCGTGCAGATGCTGGCCAGCTGCATCGACAAAGGAGACCTGAGTGGCCTGCACAGTCTGCGGTGGGAGCCCCCAGCGGACCCAGGCCCCGTGCCGGGCGGCGAGGGGGCCCAGACGCTGCCCCTGACTGAGAACGTCATCCATGTGCCCCCGCTGGACCCCGGCATGGGGATGGGCCCTCCGAGAGCCCCGGGGAAGGCAGGCCCTCCGGCTGCGGAAGGAAAGCAGGAAGGTGGCCGTGCTGGGCAGAGCGGGCTGGCAGCTTTGGGGGAGGCGGAAGGAGCCACAGCCACGCCCCTGGGGCCCGGGGCCTCCGACCTCCGGGCCGCCGTGCAAAATCTGCGGGTGGCGACGGCCGAGGCCCAGAGCCCGCACCAGCAGGTTGTGAACAAGCACAAGCCAGCCTCCGGCCCCGGAGCCACCCCCGCACCCTGCCGGGACGGTCAGCGCCAAGCACCGGCCGCGGCCACCCTGGCTGCCCCGAGCGGCAGGCCTGCAGCTGGAGGTGGCCCCAGGACCTCAGCCGCCCCCCGAAAGGTCAGTGGGGAGCAGGAAGCACCGCCCACAGGGCTGCCAGGGGGGCGGGGGACTGCCCAGGACGGCATCCACACTGCTCACCCCGTGAGGACCTCTGACCCGTCGGGGGGTGTCCAGCCGTCCGAAGGAGGGCCCCCTCGCTCGGCCCAGGCTCCCCGCCCGCCCCAGGACGGGCCGAGCCAGAGTCGGGGGCCCGGGTGGGAGGAGCCTGGGGGCCGCCCGCCGATGGCCCGGGGACCTCCAGCGAAGGCAACGGCGAGAGTCGGCCCAGGAGGCCTCCAGGCAGCAGAGACCACGCTGAAGGTCGCCTCTTTGGCCCAGCCCGCTCTGGCCTCTGGGCCGCGGCCTGCAGGCGGCGGCCCGCACTCCCATAACGCCTCTGTTCCTCCTCCTCTTCTCCCAGCCGCTGTGACAGGACCGGACTCCCCAGCCCCAGGCCGCCGCGAGGAGGAGTCCACGCAGCAGGACTCCGGGGCCCTGCGGGGCCCCCTCCTCCACCCCCACGGCAGTCCTGCCGGCCAGAGGGCCCCTGGGGACTCACGGACAAGGACCCCCGAGCCAGAGCCCAGGACGTCCCCGAGGACGAAACCTCAGCTGCCTCCGAAACCCGCACACCTAGGCCAGATGCCCCCGCCCCAGGGGCTGCCCAAGCTCTCAGCTCCCTCTCCCAGCGCCTCCAAAGCCGCCGGGCAAGGAGTGTGCAAGCGCGAGGCGGGAGAGGCAGCGCACGCCCCCAGCGCTGCCAGCCAGGCAGGCCTACCTGTGGCCGGACGCCCCAGCGGGCAGAGCCGGCCCCGCCCCCAGCACGGCCCGGGTGCCTTGGCTTCCGGCTCCACCAGGAGCCAGGCTGCGGGCAGCGACGCCCAGAGCCCTGAGCCCCCCAAGCCCTCAGCTCTCAGCGGCCACCCCGCCTGGCCGCAGCAGGCTCCCAGCCCCCCAGGAGAGGCCTCCGAGAGCGCTGAGGCTGCGCGGAGGGGCCGGCAGGAGCTCCTCGGCCTCCGGAGCCGGCTGCAAGCCCTGGAGAAGGACGCCGCGGGCGGCGTGGACGTGCGGGCGCCGAGGAGGCTCCCTGAAACGGTGCCCCAGCTGGCTCGGGCTCCTGCTGCCCCCCAAAAGCCCGAGGCCTCGGTGGTGCAGGCCTTCGGGGAGCTGACGAAGGTCAGCACGGAGGTGGCCCGGCTGAGGGAGCAGACCCTGGCCAGGCTGCGGGACATTGAGGAGGCTGTGCACAAGGCCCTCGACTCCATGACTAGCCTCCAGCCCGAGACAGACACCGGGGGCCGGTCGCAGGGCCCCCCAAAGGACCACAGCGCCTGCAAGAGCAGCAACTCGGATGGCAGGAAAGCCGGACCCGACTGTTCCGGCCGGGAGGCCCCAGGGCAAACCGCAGTCATGGACGAACCCCGGGATGCGTGCCTTCCTGAGGCCCAGAGTCAGGCCAAGGTCAGAAACCACACAGAGGCGGGGGGTCAGTCCGCCTCAGCCGTCCCTTCCACCAGGAGGCCAGAGACAGTGAGGGGAGACTCAGGCCTCCCTGGAGCCTTCCCCTGCAGCAGAGAGTCATCCTGCCCCCCCACCTTCATCTCCGCTGAGTCGGCCACAAGGAGGCTTCCAGAGGCTCCCAGCCTTGATGCCTCAGTGAGAAGCACTCACCTGGCACCGGATGCGGGCCAGGCCCGGCTCCCCCAGAAAGGTTTCCAGGACAGGGTTGGACAGACAGAGGTCCCCCCATGCTCCAGGCAGCCCGAGCCCACCCCCGCCTCCTTAGGAAGCCCCCTGCCCGCTGGGTGGAAGAGCATTCTGGGGCCGCGCACGGGACCGGGTGGCCCCCAGGGCTGTGGAGCCACAGGAATGGCCACCCAGCAGCACGAAGGGGTGGGCCAGTGCAGGGACCCAGCCCTCCCGTCCTCCGCCAGGGTCGCGGGGCAGGCAGAGCTGTCCAGGGACCCGGGACCCCAGCGCGAGCTCCCCATGCCCCCCTTGCTCCGGCCCTTCCTGCGCAGCCCAGCCGGGCTCAGTGGGGGCCTGGCCGAAGCTGGCCGGGGGCGCGCTCCCTGTGGCTGCTCCCAGCCCGAAGCCCAGTGAGCCCTTGCGCCTCCGACGCCGACGCGTCCTGGGGCGCTCCGCCCCCAGGGCCCTGTGACCCAGGTGGGTGCCGAGCCCTGCACACACGAGGCGGGGCCAAGAAGAAAGGGGATCTTGTGAGACTGGTGCGCGGCCTCCCTGCGTCCGTCTGCAGGCCCAGGTCTTGCAAAGGGAAGAAAGGCTGGGAAGACACCCGCCGAGCAGCGGGAACATGGGAGTGGCATGGGGGCCGGCGTCAGCTTCTGGGGGATGGACCACGTACAGACACATGTGCCCCTCACACAGGACGGACCACGTACAGACACGCTGCAGGCCACCGCCTGACATGGAGCCCCCTGAGTGATCCTCCCCCTCAGCCTTTATTTTTTTTATTCTGAGCCAAAATGTTCTCAGCCGTCTATCTGCTCCTTAATCCTTGGAGAAGCCAGGGCCAGCTGGACCACAGGACTGGTGACCTTTCCGCATTGGTCCGGGGGCTCCAGAAGAGCCCCGTGCAGCCCGTTCGTCACTATCTCCATCATTCGGCGGGTCATCCGGCAGCCCAAAGGTCACACGGAAGAGCTCTGCAATCAGCAGTGTCCCTAAAAGCAAACACACTGCCTCTGTACGCCCACCGCCCTTCACTCTGTACCCCAAATGGAAACGATACACTCCGAATAAACCCAAGCTTTATTCTACCATCTGTGTGTGTCTGTCTGACGGTTTGCACGCCTGTTCCAGAGCCTGGGTTCCCTCTGTGGGGGAAAGGCAGCCACAACCTCCCCATGGCCCCATTCTCCCGGCAACAGCAGAGTTGGAAGGCTCTGAAAAGCCACCCCTCTTCCACCATCTTGGCTGGGAAACAGAGGCCCCGCGCACTCGCTCCCCGCCTTCCCAGCCCAAACATACTCTGCTGCCCGGCTAGCCCTGGTCTTTCTTGGGCATCATCCTCGAATGGGATCTGACCAGAATCCTGCTCCAGAGTGGGAAAGCAGCCCCGTCGGGCCTGGGAAGGAGGGAGGGTCTCACCCCAGGAGAACCCTGGCGGCCAGGATGGCTGGGCCCTCTCCTCTCCACAGGCCAGGTGCTGTGTGCAGAGCAGGGGCTCCTGGGAAGCGGGGGAGGTGCCTGGAGGTGGATCTAGAAAGCCGGAATGAGTTCGTGCAGGGCCCTTTCCACTCTTTCAAAAAGTGCGGAGCGCCTGCTGCACTCAGGTGAGGTCTTGTTGGGGTCATGCTCTCAGGAAGTGACCCTCTGGAACGAGGAGGCAGGGAGACCATGAACAGAAAGGAAAAACCAGATGGCGAATAAGGACAATGACCTGAAGGCCATTCTCCCACTCTCGGGGAGGAGTCTTTTTTTTTTTTAATTTTTTTAATGTTTTATTTATTTCTAGGAGAGAGAGAGAGAGAGAGAGACAGCGTGAGCAGGGGAGGGTCAGAGAGAGAGGGAGTCACAGACTGAAACAGGCTCCAGGCTCAGAGCTGGCAGTCAGCACAGGGCCCGACGCGGGGCTCGAACCCACGAACCGCGAGATCATGCCCTAAGCGAAAGTCGGACGCTTAACCGACTAAGCCACCCAGGCGCCCCGACATGTTTTAAGACTCCTCCCCGAGAGGGGCGCCTGGGTGGCTTAGTCGGTTAAGCGTCCGACTTTCGCTTAGGGCATGATCTCGCGGTTCGTGGGTTCGAGCCCCGCGTCGGGCCCTGTGCTGACTGCCAGCTCGGAGCCTGGAGCCTGTTTCAGTCTGTGACTCCCTCTCTCTCTGACCCTCCCCTGCTCACGCTGTCTCTCTCTCTCTCTCTCTCTCCTAGAAATAAATAAAACATTAAAAAAAAACAAAAACATGGCAATGTGACAATGACGGGCGATTGCCCTGGAGGACATGGCCAAGGTAAACCTCTCTAAGGGGGAAAACCTCACCTGAGAGCTAAGTAACAAAGAGCCGCATGTGTAACAATCAAGGGGAGGTGCGTGCTAGGCAGAGGGAAGAGCGCGTGCACAAATCCAGAGATGGGAGTGAGTCTAGTTCCTGAATTTCCTGGGTCCCCCTCCATCCACCTACCTCCCCCTCCATCCCGCGCCGCACAAGGTCGTGTGGGAGCTTGTCCACACGCTAGGCTCCCATCTGCGTGGCCAGCCCTGGACCGAGCCCTCCACAGCTGTCACAGCCCCTCACTGCCTGGTCTTCTCCAATGTGAGCTCCCCTGCGGCAACAGAGCTCTGAACTGGAAAGAGCCGGTCCCTTGTGGAAGACCGTGGTGTGTGGGAGCAATTAAGATACCAGATCTACCCACTTGGGACTAAAGTCTACATCTCTCCGCCCCTGGCCACACGTGCCTCTCCTCCGCCCTCCGGGCGATCTCACTTGATTACAGCCGTTTACAGCATGAGTCCTCTCCCTTTCTCATCTGCGTGAAAGTGGGTATGATTACAGTACCTTGTCTTGTGAAGACTAAGCGGATTATTACGCGTACAGTGCTTGAGCTATGCCTGGCATCTGGAACTCAGAGATGTTCATTTTTAGTGTCACTGGTAACGATTCGTTTTAATGTATCTTTCTCACCTCCAGGTGGAGTCCCTGTCTGGTTCATCTCAGATCACTGGCGCTTATCCAAAGTGCATAGAAGACACTCTGTAAGTGTCAAATAAAGGGAGCAAAGACGAATGAAATGATCAAGTGAATCCAGTGATTCACCCAACCGACATGTATTGAGCACCTGCTTCATGCCGGGTTCCATCAGGATGCTGAGAACAGAGACGAGCAAGGCAGAATTTATCCCTGACTTCACGCAACCTGGGTTTAAAGAGGGAAGACAATATATTAGAAGCAGATTTGAGAAGGGAGTAAACACCAGGTCAGTCCGCTTAATGACACTGCAGCCGATCCGAACCACTGGAGGTGGCCCCTAAGGGTAGGGGGGCGGTGAGCAGGTGCGGCAGCGCAGCACGGCAGCAGCGGCCTCCCGGCGACGCCGACGCCTCGCCCGGGCCGCACACCTGCGCCGCACCTGCGCCGCACCTGCCGCCGCGCCCGAGGCCCCGCCTCCTGCCGGCCGGAGTGGGCGGGGCTAGAACGGGGCCGCACCGGAAGCCGAACGCGCGGCGCCCTGGGCCCGCCCCCGGGGCGGGGCGGGGCCGGCGGAGGGGGGCGCCTTCCCACCCGCCGTCGCCAAGGGGACGGTGACGTCACCGGGCCGCCGGGTTCGGGACGTTCCGGCGGCTGCAGCCGTTGCCCGGAAACGCCGGGCCGGCGCGCAGCCAGAGGCGGGCTCCGCGCGCAGACGCCGGGCGCCGGGACGCGCCGGCCCGGCCCCTGCTCGGAGCCTCCCTCCGGGATGCCCGGCGGGCGCGGGTTCCGGCCGTCGCCCAGGCCGCCGCCCAGGCCGCCGCCCCGCCCTCCGCCTCGCCGCCCTGCACCGCCGCCGCGTCCGACCCGAGCTGCCCCTGCCCTGCCGCGGGCCGCCTCTCCCCGTTCCTGGGCCACTGCCGGAGCCCCCCGGGCGGCCCTCCTCGCTGCCGCCGCCGGTCTAACAGCCTGTCGTCCACCCGGCGGCCAGCCCTAGGGAGAGGTTACCCCATAAAGTCGCTCTCCTGCGAATACCCTCCAGGGGCTCGCGGCTCGCTCGAAAGGCTAACTCTTCTCTGCCTTTAGACCAGAATGACTTCTGCCTTCCGGTCCCGACTTGGTCACCCCCACTCTCTTCTTGCCCGCAGCTCCCTAGTTACACTGGCCCTCTTGACCTTCACAGAACCTTCACCAGACGGATTCCTGCCTCGGGCTTTGCACTTGCTGTACCCTCTGCCCAAGTCTCCTCTCTCAGACCGTTGGTGGCTGGGCTCCTTCTCACTTGGGTCCCATTCAAATGTTTCCTCGGGTAGACCCTTCTAGATCTGTCCCTCTCCTGCCCGTTGCCCCCGCACCCCGTCCAAAGAGGCCTTCCGACAAGTTACCACGCTGTTTTACGTTTTCACGAAGGCCTATCGATACCAAACTATCTTGACAATAAGTATTTGCTCATTGTCCGTGTTCTCAACACTATTCCTGTAGAGCAAATCACCTCAGGCTTCGTGGTCTAAACAAGCATTTGCTGATTCCCATGAATTCGGACAGAACACAGCGTGGGTGGCTTGTCTCTGTACCCCGACGTAGGGGCCTCGGCTGGGAAGACTCGGAGGCTGGGGTGATGTCATAGCTGGTGCCTGGAAGCCCCTGAGAACTCACCCCTCCTGTCGGGCAGGTGTGCCGGCTGCTGGCTGGGATGGCGGCCAGGACACACGCGCGGCCCCTTATGCGGCCTGGGCTCCCCCGGGGCGTGGCAGTGTCAGGGGAGCCGGACCCCTCCGTGTCCTCTCGAGGCTCCAGAGGCATATGGGTCCCCACATAACAAGGCAGGAGCTGCGTCACCTTGTATGACCCAGCCTCGGAAATCACACGGAATCAACTCTGCCACATGTTGTTGGTTGCAAAGGAGTCACAAGCCCGCTTAGACTGAACGCAAGAGGCAAAGTTCTAGAAGAACGTGTGGCCGTTTCTGGAAGGTCCCTTTTCCACATGGAGTTTTTCCCCACTTGGAGACTATCATCTCCATGACAAACCGCTTGTCGCTTGTTTACTGTCGCAAGCCCTGTGCCTGCCAGAATGGTACAAAAGCACTGAGTAGGTCACTGATCCATGTTATTGAGTGAATAAACGAAGATTTATCTTTCAAGGAGCCACTGGAGCCCAGATCTTCTCCCTGAAAGTGTATTTCCGGACCCAGCCCTTGATTTTGGACAGGGCCGCTGTGGAAGGAGCCCAGCGTTTGCACTGAGTCCAATACAGTTGTTTGTTTTTCTGCCGGGGGCGGGGGGCTGCTTACTGGAGAGAGAGTCACACCAAGTTCTAGAAACTTTCTGGAGAAGGTGCTGAAACCTCAGTCTGATTCTTCTCATTCCAAACCCTGGAAATGCCCCAGCTGAGGACTTCAGTTTTGTCCTCCGGGCCACAGAGAGCGTGAAAGTGACCCAATGGAAATAG